GAAGGGCCGGCCGGGGAGCACCCGCGGAGGCGCGCCGCCGGCGACCCCCGCCGATCGCCGCGGGCCGCGGGGCGCCGCCGCGCCGCCCTGTGGGCCGCCGCCGCCCCTCGCCCGCGCCGCCGCCGCCGCCGCGAAAGGATGCCGAAGCCGCTGCTCGTCCTGGGGAAGCCTCGTCGCCACGGCTGGATTGTCCACGAGACTCGGGTCGGGCGAAAGGGGGGGATTGGGAAAGGGGGGGGTACGAAATTTGCGGCATGCAGCTGGTTTCGGCCTCGCCGAGGGGCCAACTCCTCGATACCTGGGCGCCTCCGGCGCCGGGAGGCGCCGGGAAAATCAGCTACGTGAGCTGATTCTCAAACCCCCCCTTTGCTATCCCCCCCTTTCGCCCGACCCGAGAGACGCTGGTCAGGACGCGCCCCTGGGGGAGGTCCGGGGAGTGGCGGTCTCGGCAGGCCCGAGGGCGTCGGAGGAGGAGGAGGAGGAGGAGGAGGACGAGGACGAGGACGAGGACGAGGACGAGGAGCGCGAGCCTCCGGCGCCGCCCCTGGCGCGCTCCGCGCGCCAGAGAGGGGGTCCAGCACCGATTCAGGAAATCCGCGTGGAGTTCCGAAAAGTTATGTATATTCCGCTTTCTGTTCTTCTAGAAGGCGAGAAGGTGACCACGACGACGACGACGACGACGACGACGGCGACGACGGCGACAGCGGTGGCGGCGACGACGACGAAGCGACAGCCCCTCGTCGGCGAGGCCGCGCTGGGCGCTCGCGCTCCCGCAGCGCCTCCCGCGCGCGCGGGGGCGGCGCCGCCCCGCGCGCGCGCGACGGCTCGCGCGGCGGCTCTGGCTGAGCCCGCGGGGCAAAAAGCCGCCGCCTGGCCCGCACGCGGTGTGGTTGTCGTCGCCGTCGTCGTCGTCGTCGCTTGTCGCTCGTCGCTTGTCGTCGCTCGTCGTTGCTCGTCGTCGCCGTCGCCCGTCGTCGCTCGTCGTCGGTCCGCCGCAGCCGCCGTCGCCGTCGACGCCGCCGCCGCCGTTGTCGTCGTCGTCGTCGTCGTTTTGTTGTTGTTGTTGTTGTTGTTGTTGTTGTTGTTGTTGTTGTTGTTGTTGTTGTTGTTGTTGTTGTTGTTGTTGTTGTTGAACATTATTAATTCTAAAGAATAATTATTGTTGGGACCCCTGGTGCACGGCCCCCCTGCGCCGCCTAGGCCGCAGCTACATTTTCATCATTTTCGTGAGGAAGCCTCAGGTAATTCGATGTGATCAAGATCCGGTTGTTTTGTTCCCCCCCGCTTTCCCTTGCAAAAAACACTATAAAATGACATTTCTTGTTCTAATATAATCAAATTTCAAGAATCCCTTGCAAAAAATAAGGTAAAGTGGACATTCGCGCGCGCAAGACGAAATCCTTCCAAAAGCTTAGTGTTCGGAGCGATTTTAACATAAAAACATCAAAAAACCAATGGTTTTTCAACAAAAAAATGTCAAAATCTCATCCCGCGCGCTCTTGCGGATTCGTAGGAAACCCAACACTTTTTAAACATTTCTGTCAAACGGGCTTTTGCGAGCAACTTTTTCGAACTTCTGCGACAACGGTTGCGCACCTGCCAGGGCCATCATCCCTGTCAAATAATACCATGCGGGACACATTCGTTTTTTCTTCGCGCGCGCACGCCGAAAAATGTGACCAACTCCGCTCTCTCTGTCTCTCTCTCTCTGTCTGCTCTCTGTCTCTCTCTCTGTCTCTCTGTATTATGTATTGTATGGCACAATTGCACCATGCTGGGCACATGCGCGCCCCGAATAAGTGACCAAGTTCTGTGGGTGTGTACCCCACGCCAGTGTAGTAGCCACGGTCGTCCGCACGCCACGAAGTGAAGTGTCCCAACGTCATAGGGCGGGAAGCTGGGTTTGGGTGGTCGCGAAGAGTCGTTTGGATATTTGGTAGAGCTTGTAATGCCCCCCCACGAAGTGGGGGTATTGCCTGGTGTCGTATGAAAACCCTGGCACTGGGGAGAACACCACGCGTTCGGGTAAAATGATTGTTGTTTTTGTTGTTGTCGTTGTCGTTGTCGTCGTCGTCGTCGTCGTCGTCGTCGTCGTCGTCGTCTTCTTTTTCGTCGTCGTCTTTGTCGCCGTCGCCTCCGCCGCCGCCGCCGCCGCCGTCGTCTTCGTCTTCGTCGCCGTCGTCGTCGTCGCCGTTCGTCGCCGCTCTCGCGGCCTCGGACCTCGAGGGGGCTGTCCGGCGTACCGGACGCTCTGGCTGGGCGGCGACGGCCCGCGGGGGCGGCCTTGTTGTCCGCAGCGAAAGACTGGCCCCGACGCCTGCCTGTGCCCACAGGGTCGAGCATCTGATGAAGAAACCTTCTCTCGGAAAACTGGGCCCGCGTTTCTTGGCCAGCTTGCCGGAAAGCTGCTGGCCCAGTTTCTGGCGCGCGTTCGCCCCTCCAGCGTTGGCGCAACAGCTTGGCCAGGTTTGTCTGAAGACATTTCCGCAAAGCTGGCCCAGGTTCCTCAAGTGATGATTTTCTTGATCATCTTGTCGGCTTGTGCCGCTACCCAGCTTATCCCGGCGCGACGGAAGACGTGTCCCGACGCCTGCCTGTGCCCATCCTGTCCGCCACGAGCGACTTCTCCCGACGCCTGCCCACGCTCACCCCGACTGATCCCGGTACCCATACCACTACCCTTCCCTCGTCCTCCACCGTTTTGCTGCCTCCTGGGGGGCCCTCGTCGTCACCGCTGGATCCGCCTCGGAATCCTGGTCAGAACGCACCCCAGGGGAGGTCCGGGGAGTACGCAGCGGTATCGGCACCTTTTGGATTCCCCGGTCTGAGGGGAGACATTTGGCAGCTTGCGCGCTGCTCTTTTCGGAGGCGCGCGTGCGCCCTTTGGCCCAAACGCTGGCACGCCTCGTCGGGGGGAGGGAGCAGCGTGGAACGAGATCGGGGACAGCCATGCACTCAAGCTTGTTCCGTTGCCCTGCCTCGCCAGAGGCTTCCTGGGGGCGCGCCAGGGCGCGACGTGTCTCGACGCGTGGGCGCTCACATGCCCGTGGGGGCCAGGGGCCTTGACGTTGTCGGGATAACTTTTGGATCCCCGTGGGTCCAGAAGTTTGCCCCGAAGCGTTTGGGTCCGATCAGCTCGGGGGTGAGTTTAGACAATTCGGGAGATCCCCATCTCGGCGGCTTTCCCCTGGGGCTGATCTCCTCTCGTTGCATTCGCCTCCACATCTCGTCGTTTGTGCGGTAACCTTCAGCATTTAGGCGGACGAGTCCTTTGGCCCCATTTGTCTGTCAGTTGCTTGCAACGCGCGCGCCACTGTATTCACTCTCGAGTAACGTGACCTCGCATTGCTGGACCTCGGCCACCATGTTGACGCAGCGGCTTTGCCACCGCAGTGGGAAACAACCTCATATCCGCGGTGGGCGGCAACGAAACCCTGGATAAGGGTAGGGGTAATACCTGGTTGACCTAAAAGGGAGTCCAGCGACAAGGGGGAGGTGCAATAGATTTGGCGCAATCCATTTATGGTGTTGCAGTAGCTCTGGGGCGTGCAGTACATGTCGGTGTGCAAATGGATTGCTTGCTTTTCGCGTGCAGCACATCCGCTGCACCACAGTGCAATCTATTCTTCCGTCGCAATTCAGGTGCAATACACCTTAGGCGATGCTTAAGAAAACTTAAGTTTTCGGCCAGAGTCTCGATTATTCTTAACGTTTCAATGTAAATCCCAAGATTTTGATAGAAGTTTTGGGTTTTATTCAATTTCTGAGACCATTAATTTCTTAACCCATGATTTCTTAACCATTTCGCGTGGTGTACGACTGCCCCCAAGCTGTTGCACCACCCCCTTTCAGCTGGACCCCCTTTTGGGTCCACCAACTATAATACCTCCCCGCGCAGCTCGGCCCACCGCGTGGCCGCCGAGCCGCGGGCGCGCCGCTCCTCGTCGCTCGGCTCGCGCCAGCAGATCTCGCGCCGGCGGCTTCGGGCCGAGGCTGCGGCTCCCGCGTCGCGGGCAGCCGCCGCCCTCGGCCGTCGCTCCGCGCTCGTCGTCGCTCCCCGGGCGTCCGCCGCTCGGCCCGCGCCCGCGGCTCGGCCCGCGCCCAGCGGCCCGTGCGCGGCGGGGGCCGGGCGCGGCGGCGGCCCTCACGTCGTCGGAGTCGCGCCGTCGCCGCCGTCCGTCGTTCGTCGCTCGTCGTCCTGCTGCCTCCCTCGGAGGGCACCAACCAGCCTGGCGTGCTGACGCCACGGGGGATATACTGCACCAGTACTTTGCCCAGTGCTTAGGGAGAAGAGTCCGCTCAGTGCTTTCCCCAGCGCAGTTGGATCACCTCAAGCATGCGCCTTTTGAGGAAGCTGGCACGCAGTCCGTATCATTGGCATCTTGTTGTCTGAGACAAAAAGTCACCAAACAGTCACCTGGACCGGTCTCGGCCAGGCCGATCCTGGCCTTGATTCGGGCAGGAAGTAATCTAATTACACCGATCGTGGACCCAGGATGCTTCTGGCCAGGGCCGGTGCAGGTGTATAGATAGCGTCCTCAAACTCCCTCCTCCTGGGTGGGAGGGGGAGGAGGAGGAGGAGGAGGTGGAGGAGGAGATGGAGCAGGAGGAGGAGGAGGAGTTAAGAGGAGGAGGAGGAGGACGAGGAGGAGGAGGAGGAGGAGGAGGAGGAGGAGGAGGAGGAGGAGGAGGAGAAGGGGGAGAGGAGGGAGGAGGAGGAGGGGAGAGGAGGAGGAGGGAGGAGGAGGAGGAGGGAGGAGGAGGAGGAGGAGGAGGAGGAGGAGGAGGAGGGGAGGAAGGAGGAGGCTAAACCATGTTGGCTCAAAACCACATTGAGCCCAGGCTTCCGTAGTGCCACATGTCTGCCGATGCCAGACATCGGCCGCGGGTCTCGAGGAGGCGCTGTCCCCCTCGAGGTGACAGTCAAGAGGTGTGGTCAGACAAGACAGTGGAGCGCAGCACTGCAGTTGCTCCGTGAAGGGGTTCAGTTCGGTGTGCAGCTGTCCCCATGCCACTACGTTGCGGCTGCCAGCGCATGTAGACATGGCGGGCAATGGCAACACGCACTGTGTGTGCTCAGCGAGATGTGGGAGGCGAAGCTGGAGCCCAGCGTCACCTCTCCTGCAACACCGGGAGCAGCGCGTGGCGCCGTGCTCTTAGTGGCAGAGCCTGCTGGGGGGCCTGCTGGGAGGGCTCGCTGGGAGGGCTCGCTGGGAGGGCCTGTGCCTCCCAGGCGGCCCAAGCGAGCCCAAGAGGCCTCCAAGCTCGCCGAAGATGCGGCCTCAATGCGGTCCAAGATGGCGTTCAGACGGCCTGCCTGAGAGGGCCCCAGAAGGCTCCCAGTGCGCTCCAAGAGCACTCCTGGCAGGGCCTCCCAGTGCAAATAAGATGCTTTAAATGCCTGTTTTTCTTCAGCATGCGGGCAGTACTTCTGTCCAGATCCATTGAAGTATTGAGTTTCGGGCTCCCTTCCCTAAAACCCGAGGCGCACTGGATATCGATAGATTTGCCCCCAAGAGGCTCGTTTTTTATACATATCCAGGGCGCCTCGGCCTTGTGGCGCCCCTTCCAAGAAGGTCCGCGGCGCACTGGATATGGATATGGATATGTGTGTGTATATATGTATATATATATATATATAGATATATGTGTATGTATGCATGTATGTGTGTATGTATGTATGTATGTATGTATGTATGTACGTACGTATGTATGCATGTATGCATGTATGTATGCATGCATGCATGCATGCAATTATGTAAGTATGTAAGTATGTATGTATGTATGTATGTATGTATGTATGTATGTATGCATGCATGCATGCATGCATGCATGCATGCATGCATGCATGCATGCATGTATGTATGTATGTATGTATGTATGTATGTATGTATGTATGTATGTATGTATGTATGTATATGTGTGTGTATGTCTGTCTGTCTGTCTGTCTGTCTGTCTGTCTGTCTGTATGTATGTATGTATGTATGTATGTATGCATGTATGTATGAGTGTATGTACGTAATGTATGTATGTATGCATGCATGCATGCATGCATGGATGTATGTATGTATGTATGTATGTATGTAGGTATGTATGTATGTATGTATGTATGTATGTATGTATCTATGTATGTATGTATGTATGTATGTTTGTATGTATGTATGTATGTATGTATGTATGTATATATAGATATATGTGTGGATCTCTCTCTATAAATAGAGAGAGAGAGATAGAAAGAGAGAGAGAGAGAGAGAGAGAGAACGAGAACGAGAGAGAGAGAGAGAGAAAAAGAGAGAAAACTATAGATGTGGACACACCTTGCCCGCACAGCATACACGCCTTGGGACAGCTGCGAGCACGACGGCACAACATGCTCCAAGAGCGCCCCGCCACGCGGCCTCCAGAGAGGATCTCGAGACGGCCCAAACGGGCTCAAGACGTTCCCAGAGAGCCCCAAGACCGCCCGTGCGGCTCCCAAGAGGGGCCCGAGAAGGCTCCAAGAGGGCCCCAGCGAGGACCCCAAGAAAGGTCCCAAGAGGAGCCCCCCTGCTGTCAAGGACGAGGGCCCCTTCTTGACAGCAGGGGAGCCCTCCTGGGGCCCCTCTTGGGGCCCTCTTGGAGCTTTCTCCAGCCCTGCTTGAAGCCCTCCCGGTGCTCCTAGAGGGCCCCGAGATCTCGAGGGCCTCCAGAGCGCTCCATGCAAGAGGGCCCTCAAAGGAGCCCCCCTGCTATCAACGACGAGGGTCGTCTTCTGGTTCCCTGCCTTCTTGGTGCCACTGTAGGGGCCCTCTTGGAGCCTTCTCCGGCCCCTCTGGGCCCTCCCAGGGCTCGCAGTGCTCGTAGGGCTCGTGCGGCTCGTGGGGCTCGTAGGGACCCAGGCCCAGGCCATGAGGCCTCCCACGTGCCATCTTGAGGCGGATCCACGTCCTCCCAGGGCAGCCCGGGGTCCTCCCGGCCCTGCGCCTGTAGGCCGGTGAGGACACGCGGCCCTGGTTCCTCGCATGGCTCCAGCGCCCTGGCCTGGCGCTGCCCCCGGAGGCCTCCCGGGGGCCATCTGGGGGCGGTTAACTGAGGCCTCACGGGGCGGCCTCTGGCCCAAGAGGCGACCAAGACGACCCAAGATGGCCCAGAGATAGGTGGCCGCGTTCCCCTGCCTCAAGCAGTGGCGAAGCGTCCTGGCTCGCCTATAGGCCTATCAAATAATGTTCTAAGAACCTCTTGCGGTTTGCACGACATGTTCTTAGAACATTTCTGGCTGGGGCTGTCTTGTTTTAACACATCAGTTTATGTTCTATGAACATGGTTTTCGTTCTTAGATCATGTTTTGGGTTCTAAGAACATTTCGTGGTAGCCCTATAGGAATGCCAGGACGGTCGGTCCCTGCTCAACTGCCGGGGCACATGCGGATATGATCCACGGGTACGCACTAGTCTGTATTACAATTCTAGTCGTTGCGTGCGCGAGGTGCGCCAGCAGTGCGCCAGCTGCCCCCGACCGCTCGGAGCGCTCCGCAGCTCTCCGACGGCTCCCACGAGCCCCCCGGGTGGCTCCAACACGGCCTCGGGCAGCCCGAATATCGCTCCGAGACGCTCCCCAGAGGTGCTCAAGAACCGCAAGAGGCCTGCAAGGCGCCCCAGACAGGCTCTCAGGAGGACCCACCATGCCCCCGACACGGCTCCAGGGACGCCCGAGCTGTTCAACTTCGACGAGCTGTTCACCGCACACCGTGGATTTAACCCACGGGTTCGCACTCGTCAGCTACAACGCTGGAGTCAGCGCGTGCGAGAAGGGCATGCAGTGGCGGGGGGCTCTGGCGCTGCTCAGCGAGATGTGGCAGGCAAAGCTAACTCCCGACGTCATCTATCCTATGTGATCGGTTTCGGCGCGTGCCAGAAGGCTGGCAGCATCAGGTGGCCCAAATCTGCCCCAACGGGCCCTGGAGGGCCCCGGAGGGCTCCGTCGGTCCCGACACAGTTTCAAGATGGACCCAGCTTCCAGACGGCCCAAGAGGTTACCAACATTGCCATCAGAAGACACAACGGGGCCCCAAGACGGCCCAACAGGGCCCCAAGACGGCCCAAGAGGGCTCCAAGATCCCAGAGGGCCCCGAGAGTCCCAAATCTTGATTTTCCTTGGGTTTTCGACTGATTTTGACGGTCTCTCCTTTTCGGGCTCCCGACGCTCTAAGACTGCCCAAGACGCCCCCAAGATCGTCCTAACGCGGCCCAACAGGCCCCCCAAGAGGGCCCCCAGGCGGCCCAAGAGGGCCCCAAGACCGCCCACGCGGCCCCCCAAACAGCCCAAGAGGGCCCAAGAGGGCCCCAAGACCGCCCACGCGGCCCCCAAGACAGATCACGAGGGCCCACCAAGAGGGCCCCACGAAGGGGAACTCGACCTGCCATTCCGCGCCCTCCGTCCCAGGATGACCCTTCAGACCGCAAGCAGCCTCTCTAGAGGCTCCCCGGAAGCCCCGGGATGCCCCCCCCCAAAAAAAAACCCAGATCAGGCCCCAAGAGGCCCCCGAGAAGCCCACGACACCCCCAAAACCGCCTCCAAGAGGCTTCCGATGGAAGATCCCCGCGAGAGCTCGGGGACCGCGCCAGCCACTCGGAAATTTGGCGGCCAGGCGCTTCTTTGTTCCCCCCCTTCGTCGGAGCGGCCCTGGTCTGACTGGGCGGCCCGTCGGGGAGTTTTCCCTGAGAGTGCTCCGGAGCCGTCGGCCCCCGAGGGCATCCTCCGCAGTGCCTTCTGCTTTTTCTCCTGAGCCTGCACAGCCCGCGCGCATCCCCCGACCTCCTCGACGGCCACAGCCACGATGGAGCATCGTTGCGTACGAGCCTGGTGAAGAAGCCAATCCGAGTGGGCGCGGGGACGCCATGGGAGCACGCCCTCTGGAGGCACATGCGAAGCCTCCTGTGGGGCACGAAGCCAGAGGCGTGTGGCGAAGTTGCCGCGGGGACGCCATGCGAGCACGCCCACTTTGGAATAAACCTTCCCTCCAAGCTCATTTGTCATACGCCCCTACAAGGTTGCATTTCCACTGAGGGAAGTGCCCCGTTGGAGATCCTGAAGCGTGCCGAAACAGCATTCTTGGGACCCCAACGCCACGAAACAACCTGACTGTTGCGTCTTGACGATCCTGAATCGTGCCAGCGCAACTCCTGGGACTTCAACACCGCGAATCAACGTAACCGTTGCGCCCTGACAATCTTTCATCGTTCCCAAACACCATTTCTGCATTTCTGGTACGTTGACCATGGGAGTCCGTGGAACTCTTGAACATGTTTCAGACGAATGTGCGCGGCGCTAGGGCGAGAGCCACATTTTGGAAAGGAACCGCACTCGATCCGTAACACCATTTCAGAATTATTGAGACGAATGTGCGCGGCGCTAAGGCGAGAGCCGCATTTTGAAAACGGCCCGCTTCAATCCGTGAAGCTCTTGCATCTGTTTGCGACGAGTGTGCACAGCGCTAAGGCGAGAACCGCATTTTGACAACGGCCCGCCCTTAATCCGTGAAGCTCTTGCAAATGATTACGACGATTGTGCGCGGCGCTAAGTCGAGAGCCACATTTTGAAAACGGCCCGCCCTCCATCAATGATATTGTTACAGAATTTCCAGTTTAAGGATCATAAATGGTAAAGAAGTCTTAGGCGAAACGCCCAGTCCGCCCTTCCGACTGGCCTCGGGGTGCGGGAGGGAGGAGTTATTTATTAAGGGAAAGGAATGGAGGGAGAACGAGGAGGAGGGAGGCGGGAGGAGGGAGGGAGGAGGGAGGGGGTAGGGAGGAGGGAGGGAGGAGGGGAGGAAGGCGGAGGGAGGAGGGAGCAGGAAGGAAGGAAGGAAGGAGACGCGCGGCGCTGCGGATCCAAAACGAGGACCCAACTCAAAGGAGATTTGGGAATAAGGCGCACATGCGCTTCTTCATTGCCAGCCTTGGCCATGACACTGCCCCAAGGCGGCTCAAGACGCCCCTCTCGCAGCCCGTTGTCCCCTCGAAGGTCCAGCCAGGCTCCAAGTTAGCCCGAGAAGCTTTAAGCAAGACGTAGGAAGGCGTATATTGAGCCCAGAAGACCTCCATTACAGCTTCAGGGAGCAAGCAGCAGCAAGCAGCAAGCCAGCAAGCCAGTGAGCAAGCAAGCAGGATGCAGCAGGAAACCCAGTCTAAATAAACAAGCGCCGGACGTCGACTCCTCGAGCCTCCAACCCAACGCCGCTCCAAAATTGCCGAAATCCCTGAGGAATCGGCCTCCAGACCCTGGAGGGGAATCTGACCGAGTTAGTCTCGCACCCCAGATCGATGTTTGATGGCCCCGGAGCCCGAAAACAGCCCCCGAAGGCTTACAAGGACGACAACCTCGAACCTCGAACCGCGATGCTCCTCGCCTCGAACCTCGACGCTCCTCGCACCTCGACGCTCCTCGCCCATCTCCCCTCGCCCCTCGCTCCTCCCCTCCCGTTCCTCGGCATCCGCTGATCGCCCGTCGCTCTTCCACCCTCGAGCGCCTCGATGCTCTCGATCCTGGCTCCTCGCTCTCCGATCCGCTCCCGGCAGGAGGTTGCGTCAGAACGCTGAAGTAGCGAGAAGCATCATAGTTCGAAGACGAAAAACGGCATAAACAAACTTTCGTGGCGCGCTCCGCGCGCCATGGAGGCGGTCCAGCGCAGATCCAAGAAATCCGCGCGGACCGTCTACGGTTTTTTTCGTCGTCAATATTGCAGCATCCAAGCAGCAGCAGCAACGAAATGCAGCAGCGCGAAGCGGGTAGCAGCAGCGGGAGCGCACAGCCACAGCAAGCAGCAGCAGCAGGCAGCGGGCAGCAGCGCGCACAGAGCAGGAATGGCCATCCAAGCCCCAAGCCAATAAAGGACGCAGCAGCGCTAAACATTACCAGCAGCACGCAGCAGCGGCAGCAAGCAGCAGCACGCAGTGGCATGTGCGGAATGCGAAGCTCGAGCCCCACGTCATTATGCCAGCCTTGCGGCAGCACGCCAATCACCACATGCGAGTTCGTGCAGATTTCGTGGCTGGTCAGGCCACGGGTCAGCCCTAGTCAGCTACAGCGCTGGGATCAGCGCGTGCGAGAAGGGCAAGCAGTGGCAGCGGGCGCTGGCGTTGTTCGGCGAGATGCTCGCGGCGAAACTGGAGCCCAACGTCACAGTGCCGAGCATTATGCGTGAGGAGGAGGAGGAGGAGGGTAGGAGGAGGAGGAGAAGGAGGAGGAGGAGGAGGAGGAGGATGAGGAGGGACGAGGGAGGTGGGCGGAGGAGGGAGGAGGGAGGAGGGAGGAGGAGGAGGAGGAGGGAGGACGGAAGGAGGAGGAAGTAGGAGGAGGAGGAGGAGGAGGAGGAGGAGGACCAGTGTAAACCCAAGATGTACTAACGATGTTGCAATACACCCTCCCTTCCTTCGGGAGACAAGCGTTTGAAAAGCCCGATTCGTGCTAACGCATCATCGTCGGGACTCCAACGCCACGAATCAAGTTTACAGTTGCGTCTTCACGAACGATTCTGAACCGTTCCAGGACATCATTCCTGGGACCTCAACACCGCGAATCAACGTAACTGTTGTGCCGGGACGAGTTTGCATCATTCCAGAACGCCTTCCCTGGTACGTTAACCATGAGAACCAGTGACTGTTTTTTGTTTTTCCCGAACTTTCGAAACCAATGTGCGCGGGTCTGGGGCGAGAGCCACATGTTCGAACGGAGCCACGCTCCATCTGTGAAACTCTTACAGCGGTTTACGACGAGTGTGCGAGGCGCTGAGGCGAGAGCCGCACGTTGAGAAGTCGCCGCCCCCCCCCATCCGTGAAGCCCCTTGCAGCGTTGTAAGGCGAGTGGGTGCGGAGCTCAGGCAAGAGCCGCACGTTGGAAAGGGGCCGCCCTCCATCCGTCAGGCCCTTGCAGAGTTTTGGGCGAGCTTGCGTGGCGCTGCGGCGGGAACCACCTTTTGAAAACGGCCCGCCCTCAATCCGTGAAGCTTTTTTCGCAAGTTTTTGAAACGACCGTGCGCGGCGCTAGTGCGAGAGTTGCATTTTGGAAGCGACCCGCCCTCCATCTGTGAATCCGTTGTCAATGTTGCAGCTTCAGGGCCATACGTGGTCGCGAGGTCTCGGGCGAAAAGCCCGGCCCGCCCTTCCGACTGGCCTCGAGGTGCGACAGGGCGGAGGTATTAGTAAGGAGAAGGAATGGAGGACGAGGACGAGGACGAGGATGAGGACGGGGAGGGGGAGGGAAGATGGGCGAGGGGGGGAAGCCAATAATACTGATGATGATGATGATGATGATGATGATGATGATGATGATGATGATGATGATGATGATGATGATGATGATGATGCTGATGATGATGATGATGATGATGATGATGATGATGATGAGGAGGAGGAGGAGGAGGAGGAGGAGGAGGAGGAGGAGGAGGAGGAGGGGGGGGAGGCCGTCGAGGCTGGAAGTGTTTATCGACATCCTGATGGCCGTCGAGGCGTCGGCCGAGTGGCCGAAGTTTGCCTCGAAGATCGCCTTCTTGTCCAAGCGCCTGGGCGGTGTGCGCCCCATAGCGCTAATTAACGTGTTGGCTCGGGTTCAGGCACGCCTCCGCCGCCCGATAGCTCGTGACTGGGAGTCCCGCAATGATCGATCGTATTTCTGGGCCTCCAAGGGAAGATCGTGCGATCGAGCCGTCTGGCAGCAGACGGCCTGGTCTGAGTATGTGTCCACTAAGGCTAAAGGTTCCACTAAGGGCATTTGGGTCTCTGGTATGGTTCTCTTGGATCTGATGAAAGCCTTGGAGCAAGTGGAACATCATTGGCTTTTGGAGGCTGCAGTGGCTACTGGGTTCCCTCTCTGGCAGCTCAAGTTGAATGTTGAGTTATATCGTGCTGAGCGTTTTTGTTGTCTGGGCCAAGTCGTCTCGTCGCCGATGGTGGTTGAGCAGACCATTCTACCAGGTGACGGCTGGGCCACGTGCATGCCCCAGTTGATTTTGATTCGGCCGCTTGACTCCATGTACAGAATGCATCGAACCGTCGTCCCCACCATTGTCGTTGACGATTTGCTATTGCACAGGATTGGCACGCAATCTAGAGTTACGCGTGAGTTGGCCCAGGCGTCGTTAGACTTGCAGGAGGCTCTCGCTGCAGTGGGCTTGCGTGTGCATGTTGACAAGTCACGTGTGTTGTGCATAGAGCAATGTGTGCGCGATGAGGTTGCACGACGTCTGCAGGCGAAAATGGGCACGAAAGCTACACTGCATGAGCGAAACCTTGGCATTGACTTCTCTTGCGGGCGGCGCGTCGGGCATGCAGTACGCAAATCTCGGCTTCTGGGTGCTCGCCAGCGCCTGAGGCGGATTGGCCTCATCCGCACTGGGCAGAAGAAACGTTTGGGAGTTCGAAAGGTTGCTCGATCGGGTTTGGAGGCAGTATGTCGTATGTGATGAATGTCACGGGATGCTCGACTTCGAACCTTGAGACTATGCGTAGCACGGCGTTCGCGTGTTTCACTGGGGCTACCGCTGGGAAGTCCCGCAGTTTAGCCTTGATGTGCGAGAAGGATGCTGACCCGATCCTTCGAGCTACTCTGATGCCTGTGCTCCCGCTCTGCCGAGCTATATGGGAGGGGTGGGTGCCGAGGCACGTGGTGCGGGATGGGCTGGAAGGAAGTTCGTCGGTCTCGCTCTGGACCCAAGTGTCTGGTCCGTTTAGTGCGTGTCGGCTGTCGCTGGCTCGTGTCGGCTGGTCGATTCGTTCCGCCTTCGAGTGGACCACGCACGAGGGCTTAGACCTTGACATCAGTGTGCTCTGTCCTCGAGTGATCCGCCACTATTTAGTGCAGGCCGCCACGGCCTGGCAGTGGCGACAGGTGGCGAAGCACGATGATTTGAAACATCTGGAGTTTGGTGCGGTTTGGTTGCCCCTGGTCCAGGCTGTCTCCAGCGGACGGCCTCGCTGTGCTCACAATCGGGACCTTCCGACCCTGGGGCCCGAGGCGCGTGCGTACCTTCGTCCGTGCATTGTTGGCGGGCAGTGGCCCATGGTCAGGAAAGCCTTGAGTAATGAGTGCCTCATTTGTCGCAAACCTGGCACTCTTGTCCACAGACATTTCGAATGTGACTTGTGTCAGGAGCTGCCGTGCCCTGATGCGTTTACTCCGCTGGTTCAGGCTCAGGATCGGTCCCAGGTCCGTGTGCTCCTGGAGAGGGCGCTTTGGCCCATCCCGCGGACCTCGTGGAGGGCCCCTGCCCAGGACACGGTGGTCTGGCATCAGCATGCGGGGCCTGGGGTCCTTATTGCCAAGGAAGCCTACCTGGACGGTTCGGCCTTTGAAGGCCAGTGGAGTAGTTTGAGTTGTACAGGCTGGGCCGTCGTTACTCTGCGTGATGAGGCCCCCCTCGGTGTAGTTGATATTATTTATTGCACTTGTTCGCAGTCCGTGTTCGACATCGACGGGGCCGAATTAGAGGCCTTGATCTTTTTGGTTCTGAATTCGTTGCCTCCAATTACTGCTGTCACTGATTCAGATTTTGTGTTTCGTGGAGTGACTGAGAGAGGGGAAGAGGCCACCGCGGCCCATTCCTCGGCCTGGGCTTGTCTCTGGCGGGTCTTCTGGAAGGCCCTGGCTGAGTTTGGCGGCCTTTGCGAGGCCGGCCTTTCGATGCGTAAGGTCAAGAGTCACTGCGCGATGTCTGACGTGGATGCGGGCCGCATCACGCGTCGGGACCGTTTCGGCAACTTCCACGCCGACGTATGGGCGAAGTTTGGAGGCCAGCTTGCGCGCGCGCCTGCAGAGGATAGGAAGCGCATGCAGCAGGCTGAGCAGTTTGTGGAGCAGGTAGGGCACAGGATTGGGGAGGTGGGCGCGCATGTGGACGGACGTGACACTACGCACGTTGCGCGCCGCAGGCGTGTGAGCGCGCCCCCTCTCCTTGTTGTCGTCCCTGCTCAGCTGCCTCACGATTTAAGAGGGCCTGCCAGGCGACCCTGGTGTGCTCGCTGCCGTGCTGTGGCCCCCGTGTCCGAGGTCTGCCCTGGGTCGATCTCGACGCGTGCGCGTGATGCCAATGAGCGCTTGCACGAGCAGGGTTTGAAGGTGCATCGGTTAGTTGTTTTTAGGGTGGAGGAGTCCCCTCAGGATGCGGCCCATCCTGTTGTTGCGTGTACGCTCTGTGGTGCGCACAGTTCGAAGCAACTCGAGGGATTCCTCGCCCCGTGTTGCAAGCCTGGGGAGTGGGGTAGGCGGGCCGTCCGAAGGATGTGCCAGGGCTACCTCCCAGGTGTGGCTGGGAAAGTTCCAGCTGTTGTCGCTCCTCTAGTGTAGGCACTTCCCGCGTGGACAGTTGTGCCCTCAGAGGGGGGCTCCACGGCTTCGGGAAGAAGAAGAGGGGGAGGAGGGCCAACTATGAGGAGTCATCTATATAAGGAAAACGGAATGGAGGGACGAGGGTTCCCTTGCTTCATCCCGGGCTGCAGCGTCCCCACACTCTGCCAGGGGCGATGCCGCATCGTGGCCCGCGGCAGCCCACGGGGCCTCGAGGGCGTCCGCGGCGGCGTCCAGAGAGCCCAAAGGTGGCCCAAAAGCGCCCCACGGGTGGCCAAAGTGGTCCGCCTCGAGAGTGCTCCAGGAGGACCTCCAGGAGAGGAGCGATAAGGGGAAACGGCAGGTTTGCGTTGTGCTCGTGGCTCGTACATGTCTTTTGTGCAATCGCTTCTCCGTCCCGCAACGCCCAGGACGGCCCAGGAGGCCTGCGAAATCGGCACAACGCCAAGAGAGCCCGTCAGATGGCTCAAGAGCCCCCCCAAGACGGCTCCACAGGTTTGCAACACCGTTCAAGAGGCTACCAAGACGGGCCCAAGGAGCCCAACAGGGGGATCCCGATCTCAAATTCGAAAAGCGGCCCCCTAGAGAAGTCCCAAAGAAATCTAAGACTGTTCAGGATACCCCAAGAGGTTGTACAAGTGTCCAGGGGCCTTCGGCAGCAGCAGTAGCCATGGGCAGCCAACCACACCAGGCATCATCGGCATCCCACTTGTAGCAGCATCGCCCGGAACCAGGAAACAGCAGCAACAAACAGCAACCGCCCAGTGCACCAAGCAGCAGTGGCAAACAGCACGCAGTAGCAAGCAACACAAAGCAGTAGCATCAGCAGCAGCGGGCAACACACACACACACATCAAGCAAGCACACAAACAGCGAGCAAGCAGCAAGCAACCAGCAAGCGATCATCAAACAGGCACGCACCAGCAAGCAGTATACAGTAACTATCAGCAGCAATCACATGCTGGACACCCTGGTTTTCGTGGACTGAGTTCATGGGTCAGACCTGGTACCAGCCTTATGGTTATACATAGCAGGCATACGTGCTTGCGAAAATGGCGTTGGGGTCAAGGGAATCGAACATCGCTGCGGGACGGCTCCCCAGCCCTCGGCGATACGCGGACGAAATTCAACACGAAGGTACCATGTGAAAGTGTGTCTGCGGCCTCCACGCTAGTCGAAGACGCCTCCGTGACGGCCTGGGAGCGCTCCAAGACGCTCAAGAACGCCTGAAGACCGCCCCAGATGCTTTCAATAATGCCCCCTTGATGCGCCCAGAACAGCCTCGGAGCATTAAGAGGACCGCCCGAGGAGGCCGAAATCATTGATTTTGCTCGGGCGTTTCAAGGCTTCTCGGTGTCGCCGCATGTCGCGCAGAGACAGCCCAAGACAGCTCCCGGATCCACCCGAGATGCCCCAGGACTGCCCAGGAGGCCTCGATGAGAGCCTCGACGCGGCCTAAGTGTGCCCCACGAGAGCTCCAGGAGCGAGGGGGAGACTCTTGCGGGTCGGCATCTGCGCCCTCGGGGAGGCGAGGACGATGCTTCCCGCAAGGGGCCAAATTGTGCCCGCGGCCCCGGGCTCAGGCGCGGCGGCCTGGCACTCCTGCCGCGCACCGTGTTCCCTTCTGTCGGCGACTTGGATCCGTCACGTGATGCGAATCTGAGGAGGAGGAGGAGGAGGAGGAGGAGGAGGAGGAGGAGGAGGAGGAGGAGGAGGAGGAGGAGGAGGAGGAGGAGGAGGAGGAGCAGGAGGAGGATGAGGAGGAGGAGGAGGAGAGAGGGGAGGAAGAGGAGGAGGATCAGGTGGGGGGAGGGGACTTCGCATCACGTGACGAGTTCCCTCTGCCTATTATGCCCGCAGCCCCGGGCTTGGGCGCCCAGGCCTCGGCACCCTTGGCTGCGGACATACCCTAACAGCATGCCACCCCCGCGTGCGACCTCGTCCTCCTTCGGGCAGCGGCGAGCGCCGCTGCCCGGAGCTCCTTGGCCACGACGCCCGCGACCACCGGCAACGCCGGCAGCAGCGCCGTCCCGCTCCCTCACTCGTGGGCCCCCGAACGGGGTGGTGGCCACACCATGTGGTGAGTCGGTGGGGATTCGGGGACACCGCACGGTTTTGGGACCTGGCTCGTTCTCCGAGGATGTCTCGGGCGACTGGGGCCTCCAGGGTCCCGAAGCCGTGTGGTGAGGGACCCTGCGGTCATGTCTTTGGGGATTTCGAGGTCATCGCCGGGTCTGTCACTACACGGTGATGGGACCCGCACCTCACAGCAGACGCCCGAGGCTGGCGGCTCACGGCGCGGCGGCGGTGAGGGGGGCGGCGGCAGGCGCGACAGCGGCAGCGCCGGCTGCGGCTTCGGCAGCGGCAGACGGCGACAACGTACCGGGCAGTGCCAGGGGCCACGGGGCGTTCCCGCTGCTCCGCGAGATGTGGAAAAAGCGAACCTGGGGCCCAGCTTTACCGAGTGCGCCCTGCGACACCACCTATTCCCCGCGCAAGTGGGCCAGTCCTAGTCTCTACTACATTGCAGGGACCAGTGCATGCGAAGAGGGCGGGCGCCCGATATGCTTTTTCGGCGCCTCGGCGGCCCCGGCGAGGACCAGCAGGCCCCGGTGCGCTTCGAAGATGGCCCAAGAGCGCTCTGAGACGCCCCAGGAGGCCTCCAAAAGAGCCCCAAGACTTCCCAGGACTGTTCAAGAGGGCCTCCGAGACGGTCCCAGAGCGCTCGGAGACGCTCAAGATCGCTTCACACGGCCCAAGAGGCCCCCAAAACGCCCAAAGTGGGCTCCCAGAAGACGCCCGACAGAGCCCGCGCAAGCAAAAATCATGCCAAACACAAGGGAAACGTACATGTTCGTATTTCCTGTGTGTTTAATTTATCAGACGTCCTAGACCACAATACAAGCCCCAAAGATCGCCCCAAGGCGCCTCAGGAGGGCCCCGGCAGGCCTCCACGAGAGCCCCAGACGGCCCCTGGACGGCTCATGTGGCGCCCATGACAGCTTAAGAAGCACCCAGGACAGCCCCAAGAGCGGCCCAACATGGCCCACGAGGGCCTCCAGACAGTCCCAGGACGGCCCCACAGGCGCCCAAGACGGCACCAGACGGCTCCGAGAGGCACCCAAGGCGGCCCAAGAGGGCCCCAGGAGGCCACCAGGAGGCCGAAAAGACACCCGGAGAGGCCCCTAAACAGTTTCCAAGGAGACGGCAGTGCCCGGCATCAGGCTTCGAAAAGGCAACCGGAAAAAATCACCAGAGCCCTCCAGCTGATTTTTTTCTAGGCCACAGGTACTTTCAAACTTGTTCAAGTCAGGGGGAGCAGACAAGCGGCGAGAGGCACACCGCAGACCCACCATAGCCGGCTGTGGCGCTCCGAAGGCTGTCCAGGCGGACGTGGAGCGCAAGGCGGACGAAGAGGAGTAAAGCGCCCGCCTTCAAAGTTCGGAAAAGCGGCCAGAAAAAGTCACCGAAGGTTTCGGGGTGACTTTCTCCTGGGCGGGGGCCCACCGTGGATGCTCGCCAGGGGGACCTGCTGGTCGTGGACGAAGTCCACAGGTTCGCCCTAGTCTCTCCTACAACGCTGGGATCAGCGCGTGCGAGAAGGGCGAGCAGTGGCAGCGCGCTCTGGCGTTGCTGAGCGAGATGCGGGAAGCGGAGCTGGAGCCTGACGTCATCTGTGCTGCAATTCTGGTCGTTGCGCGTGCGAAAGGGGCGAAAAGTTAGCGAGCTGCCCCCGAGCACCCAGAGCGCCCTGGCGCTCTCCGACGTCTCCAGAGAGCCCCCAGGTGGCCCCAAGACGGCCTTGACAGCCCCGAGACAGCTCTTAGACGTTCTGGATAGCGCGAGGACGGCCCAAGAGAACCCGAACGTAACGGAGCCCCATGACAGCCCCAAAAACGGCCGAACCGGACCCCGATGACGTTCCCCCGAGGCCCAAATCACAGATTGGCCGTTGGTTTTCAAAGGTTTTCCGCTCTCGCCACTTTGGGCCAAGGACAGCCCCAGACGGCTCCAGGGCCATCCCAGATCGCCCCAAGACGGTCCAGGTGGCACACCCAAGTGCCCCAAGAGGGCAGGAAGACTGCCCAAGAGGAGCCCTAGACAGTGTCGTAGAGCCCCCAGTGGCCCCCCAAAGCAGCCCCAGGACGGCTCAGGAGATCCCCCCCAAAGGCCGCAGGAGGCCTCAAGAACTGCCGAAGAGGGCTCCCCACACGGCCCGAACCATCCAACATAGCCCGCAGAAACCCCCTAGACTCCCAACATCAACAGCCGCCCCAGCTGGCCCGAGGACGTCCCTACAAGCCCCCACGACGGCCCAAGAGCGCTCCCAAATGGTTCCAGGCACACCCCGGGAGGCTCCCGGAAGACCCCCCAAGAGACCTCCGAGAGGGTCCGAAGATCGTCCAGACCACGGGCCTCCCTCAGCTCCCAGAAGGCCAAGAACCTTCCCAGGACCACTCCTTCCAAAGGACCACTTCGATGCCCCAGAGTCTCCCAGGAGACTCCGACACTTGCCAAGGAGCTTTAAGGCAGAGCGCCATCAGCCACGGCACCCTCCCGCCGACTCTGCAACCCCAAAGCCCCAGAGAAAGACGCGGACCCCGAACGACGCCCCAGACCACTCCGAGGCGCCCCAGACCCTGCCAAGATACTCCGATAGTTCCGACGAAGCTCCCAAGATCGCCTCCCGCTTTTGTGCCTTCCCCGCAGCCTTCAACAAAGCCTCTTGCCCATAACAATGCTCAACGAGCCTCCTCTCTTCGTTCATCTCTCTTCTCTCACGCATCCTCCTCCCTCCTCCTCCTCCCCCTCCCTACATTTCTACATTTCTCGCTATGCAGCGTCTTGTCGCAGGCAGCGCGGCGCACGGCCAGGCCGTCGGCCTCTTTGTGGGCTGGCGGCTGCGTGGTGGCGGCTGGGCTCCCTTCGGCGCCTCGCGCTGAGCCCAGCCGCCGTGGGGTCTTCGGGTGGCTGGCTGCCCCAGCTGCGGCGGCCTCCACCCTTCGGCGCAGCGCGCTGTGGAGGCTCGCCGAGCCGCTCGTGGGCTCCAGCAAGTCTGCAGCGGCTGCTCTCGTCATCATGCCGATCAAGGCCGGCTGGCCTCGGCCCCTCGCATGCCACGCGAGGGCGACGGGGATACACCCTTCGGCGCCTGGCGCTGTGTATCCCTCGCCGAGGGGCACGCCGCCCCTTCTCATCGAGTAGTCCATGATGTGCTCGAGCCTGCAGTGCTGCTTGACACTGTGGTGCTCGAACTTGTATCCCTCGTCCTAGCCGTGCTGGACGGGTTGGTACTCCTGCGCATTCCTGTCCAGTCGTTTTGGTCGTCCTGCCGCCCCCGCCTCTGTAGTACAGGAGGGTGCTGATCTCGGGTGTTGTAGATGGCGGTCGTTTGTAGGGCTGAGTGTAGGGTGTGGAGCGTGCTGGTCAGGTCGTTGGGGGGTCGGATCGTTGCTGGTGTTGCGTTGGTTGTGGGCTTCCGAGGCCTCCATGCACCGACTTCAAGTGGGGGTCTTGGCTGTCCCACCTCGTCCCGCTATGGCTAGGGGTCACAGTGCCCTCGGTGGGGGCGAACCCCAGGCCTGGTACTTATTATCGTCGGAGTGGGATGTCTCGGCTGTCCTGTGCTTCGCCCTCGGGCGCTCGGGTAGCTCCTCCTTCTCCATGGGAATGGTGGGGGTGGCGAGCTAGGGCGGACCGCGGGGGCGCAGGTAGTGGCCGTCCTACCCCCCCCCCTGCCCCTCACCATCCCCGCTGGTGGGCGCGGGAAGTACTCGTCCTTCCCCCCCGCCCTTCGAGCCCGTCTCGAAGTTTGATCCTCACCAGGACAGCGTTGACTTGACAAGAGGTGTGCGGGGTCGTGCTGGGTATGCTGTCGATGTCGGTCAGTAGTACGACGGCGACGTGTAGACCGCCCGCTGCCAGCCAGCTGGTGCCCTCCAAGTTGTAGGTAGCCAGTCGCCGCCAGGGTACTCACAGCAAAACGTGGCGACTTGTGCCTGGGGTGTTCCCTCGCATTCGGGGCTTCCCCAGGACTTGCGTCCTAACCAAGGCAAAACTTGGCGACGCTGCCTGAGGTCTTCCCACGCATTCGGGGCTTCCTCAGGACTTAAACCATGGCGCCGTAGTGCCTGTCTCCCAGGAAGCTCTTTGCCGCGAATATACTGCCGTGTACATGCTGCTCTTGTCCAGGGCGCTGGATAATCATAGAAGTAAATGCCAGGGTTGAAAGAAAGCCAATAAATCCAGAAAGTGCTCGAGGGGGGGGCACGCTCCGTCGCCATTGAGGGATCGTGCCCACCCGTATGGGCGCTACGGGTCCCCCCCCTCGAGTATGGCACGCAATCGCTGTCCAAGACGAAGCCGTGCCAATAACCCAGTAGTAATGCGGGTCTTGAAACATACAGTAGATGCACTGATGCTGGCGCGCCTGCTGCCACTCTGAAATATTACCCGACTGTACACCATTCTGTAATACCAACTGCCCTCCAATCTGTAAGATGCCAATAGTCTGTGCGCCAAACTGCAATCTGATGGTCCCTTCCAGGGACTGGCAAGTATGGATAATCCTGAAACAATTAAACCCGAATATCTGTGCAGGCAAACGTAGTGCCGCTGCAGTGTCAGCTGCTAGCGCCGTTGGATACCCCATGTCCTGTGACAGTCGTGGCCCAGCTGCTCTGGCTCGATGTAGTAGTCCAGGGGGGCGTAGAACCTGTGATAGCATTCATCCGTTTCGGCCCACATTGCCTCTTCGTCAGCAAGCTGTCCCCAGTGGGCTGCGAATGCAGTAGCCATTGCCTTGCACAGCATTGAAGGATATTCTTTGAGGGGGGCGGTCCTCCAGCCGCCTTGGCCGTCTCGTCCGTAAGCTCTGTCATGTCCGTTATGTCGGCATAGCTGTCCCCCAGGTACCGCCCCCCGCTCCTGTGTAAGTTCGCTGAGGTGTACCGCCATCAGGCATGTTGGCTTTCGCGCGGCCTGCCCAAACTGGCACTGGTCTATGTAGTGCAGTTCGACGCTCGTCTGCTCCAAAAGCCAGAGCGTCTCTGCTCGCTGCCAGCTGCTCGGCGCTTGCGGGCACCAAGTGGCTGGGGCGGGATGCTCGAGTACAGCAGATACATTGTACTGCAAGCCCGTGGTGATGAGTAGTAGAGCTGTCCTGTATAGCTCGTTGGCTAGTGCTATCTGTTGACGCTCCGCTTGATTGGCTGCTTGTATGCCCCAGGGGAAGTCGCGTGTACGTAGTGGCCGTGGAGCTTTCCCCTCGGCGGCATGCCAGCGCGATGAACACCACGTCTCGCAGGGGGGGCCAGCAACAATGCCGAATATTTTGCCCTGACGTATCGCCGCGCACCAAAACTCGACGACGTCTGGCTTCGTCAGATCTCCTTTGTCGGGGTCTATCTGCACGTCGATCGATAATACTACCAAATTGCATTCCCGAATGTTCATCTCGAAGTGGTGCTGGAAATCCTCGGTTCGGCGTCTGCCTGAGAAAAGGTGCAGTAGGAACATAGCCGTAATAACCATGGGCCTGCGCGGTGCGAATGCACTTGCAGGTGGCGTCGCTGGTTGAGGGTCCGCTGCTGCAGGCGGCGCCGGCGAGAGCTGGAGCTGATGCTGTTCGATGTAGTCGGCAAGCTTGATGTGTACGACCTGTTGGGCGGGCACCAGCGCCTTTGTAGCTCCATGACCCATTGCCTTCCTCGTCGCCACAGCCTCTCGTTCCTCTTCTCGGCGTTCGGCTGCCTCCTGCAAATCCATTGGGACTTCAAGTGCTTGGAGTACCGCCAGGCACCTGGGGCACCTTCTCAGGTGCTTGAGTATGCGCGATCGCGTTATGAAGTTCTTCCCACACCCAGGGCAGGTTGTCGAGCGGGCGAGCAATTCGGGGAGGTCGTAGCCGATGTGCTCCATGGTGCGATGGCGCTTCCATGCTCCCCGAGTTTTTAGGATCTTGCCACGCTCATAGCATATGTAGCCACTGTGTTGTGCAGGCGGCAGTCCATCGAAGTTGGGCGTGGTCAGTCCAAACTCTTGCGCTAGTCGGTGCAACTGCCTTTGCCATATTCGATGTCGGTATAAGTCGTGCTGCCATGCCTTGTACCTGAGCCACGCCCGCGTGATCATGGCTTGTGCGGCTTGCACTTGCTGTGTTCGTAACCATCGTACCAAGCCCCTGATGTCGCAGCCAATGTCCTCGTCGTCTAGTAGGAGTCTTCTTATCCAGTCCAGATCCTCGACGATAAGTGCATTCCAGGCTTTACCATCCCCCCAGAGCTCGTCGATGAGGCGGTGGAGGAAGGGCGTGTCTGCATGCGCCATTCTGGCCAAGTACATCAGGCGCCGTCGGCGCAGGTACATGTGGATCGGTACTTCATCGCATATCAAGTATATCTCGTCGTCCAAAGTATGTACGTACCCCGCGCCATGTCGCTGTTGCCGTGCGGCGGTCCGTAGGCTCGCCATGTGTCTGCTCTGCAACATCTGTTTCTGCTGTGCTGTCAGCGGTCCCCATACTTCGCAGTCGTAGGTCAGCTTGCTCTGCGCCAGTGCCGTGAGATACAGCAACTTGGCTTTGAGGTCGATGTGCGGCAGACGGAAGATGGACTTCTTCAAGGGACCCTCTGCGGATCTGTGATCGATGATGCGTCTCATAAGGTTCGGCCCCTCAC